TTTAAGCAATAATGCCTTACGGTTTTTGTTGTAATCCCATTATAATTGCTTATAAGTTTTATTTAAACATCGCAGCTAAGAGTTTAGCAGATTTTCCTGATCTAATAGCAAAGCTTGATCTCATATGAAAAATAGAGAGCTATTCTTTAAATCTCTAATTGCCTATTTTCCATTTATTATTATTTTTAATTGCTTGCTAGATATTTTAATTTACAGTTAAATCCCGTTTATCTAAGATAATTGGGTCTTGAGCAAATTATTTCATGGAGTAAACATTCGTTTCAGTGCACTTATTATCGGAAAAAAGTCTTTAACGTCATTATTTCTTTGATTAGTAATTCTGTTAGCGACTTTCGAAAACGGTTCTAAATTCTTACGTTACCTTGCACATATTAAACTAAGCTGTTATAGAAATGAAAGAAAGCAAAGTTATTTATATTGAACTCCGCCGATTTATTATATTATATAGGTTGAACATATCGACTTAAATATGTAGAACTATATCATATGCATCTCAGTTACTTTGTTACTTGAAAACAGCCAGTCTGTTTTTATTTTAAAGAATTCTATTAAATACTCATTGTACTAAATTCTACCCACACAATTTCTCCTTTCCAAGACTGGTCAGTTATCCTCATTTATATTTGCTGTAGCTTTTTCTGGGTTTTCGCAAGCTGTATTAAGAATCTGAATTAAATTTTCTATGAACGAAGTTTTGTATATATTGTTCTCATTCAAAGATGTGTGACAATGGATTTAGTAATAATACTATTAATTCTATAACCCTATCCTTGTTACTCACTTTAGACAAACTTACAAAAATTCTGTTCAAAGTCTACATACAGCAACATCTGATTAAATGTTTTTTACCATACTTCGAAAATATTTTTATCGAGTAGCAAATACATTTGCTACTCGATAAAAATATTTTCCTCTCTAGGATTGGCAGCATTTAAGGATGAATTCTGACCAATCGGCTGACCAAACTTTTTCCCACAGGATGATGAGATCACTTACAGGCAAGAAATAATTACCTGGATTACCTCAATCAAAAAATGAATGCTCAAATATTTATAATATTGATTTCTTTTTTACTACTACATAGTCTAGGCAGGATAGGTTTAGTTTCATTAATTTCTGCATGATGAGCTCAGAAGAAACATACGCATTTTCAGAGATCTAATTATTTCAGTTTATGAAGTTTTGAATGTTTTACGTGATTCGTGTTTTAGTTCAAATATCGTGTATCAAATGATCGAATGCTCGAATGTAAATTAAGAACTTGCTCGAAGCAAAATTTTTCAGAGCAAAATATTTACATGCATTCTTAACAAAATGAAAAGTTTGAAAATCTGACATACTTCGACACTGAAAAACAGCCGAAATATGTTACGCTCCCAGTAAAAAAGGAGGAGTTGAAAACGCTGAAGACTAAGACGAAAAGACAAATAAATAAGGTAAGCTTTGAAAATACTGGTTTATAGTAAATTCACTTGCTCGTTTTATCCTAAGGTAAAAAAAAATCATGAGTTTCTTTACCAATGTTTTTAATGTTGTATTTAAATTTTGACGAACACTTGAGTACTGAAAGTAATTACGACTCTATCTAGACTACACTGCTAATAGACAGCGTACCGCTCTATTCCCTCAACCAAATTAGCTTGAGTTTCCTTTCGGAGCTAGCTCACCAGCGGCCGAACGGTAAAGATGCTGAATACTGGTAGTTCGGTCCGAGGTTCAAATCCCGCAAACGGGCTGGCTGCATGGGCATTTCCGTGGTTTTCCCCATGTGTAACGTGTATACGAGCCAGTTTCCCTTAAAAAGTCCTCCACGAAGAAAAAGTTCCTTAAACAGTTCTCTCAGCTATCCAGAGGTCTGTGGTTCGATTCCCGGAGAAGGCGTTGCTAATTTTTCATCTTGCCTGCTTCTAAAAAATACCTAATGATGTCTCTACAGTACTTTAGCTAAGATTTCACACAAAGCCTACTGCTCCGCATGGTAGAGCTGACTTTTGCAAATGAATTACCAGAGCTGGCATAACATGTCGGACACTTTATTTTATAATGAATTTTAGATGCTGTGACAATGACGATCTAACATTAATGATGTTAACACTTCTAGATAAGTATCTAACTGTTTCGACTTTCACAATAACACCTTGATTATCGTTAGGCATAGAGATATTAAATATGAAAAATAAAGTTGATTTCGATTTAATATACACTTCGATTAAATTCGATATAGCTAAAAACATTTTATATCGCTAAGCGAATTTACAGCTGACAGATTGTAGAGCCATGAGGGTGGTGTTTTTTTTTATAGCAAGAGACGTAAAAAATGTGCAATGACCTCACCGGGATTCGAATCCTAGACCTCTTGAATAGGCGTCGAGTATGCTTTCAATTACCTCACAAAGGCATGCGGAAAGGAGGGAGAAAATACTTTATATAGTAATGAAATTTAGTTCTCTCGTTTAATCTCAATTTGTAATATTTATAAAATATTTCTGAAAATTACTTTTCAGTTTGCTTAATTTTATTATATTTCAGAGGAACGCCTTCCTTTTGTATGGTAAGCTTGTACGCGTATTTATGAATGAAACGTAATAATACTGAAAGATAAGTTTTTGTGATGGTTAAGCTGACGAAATTTTAAATTAGCTTTCATAATAAATAGTACAAACATCTATAAAGTTGATCAGTAGCTTCAAGAACTTCAGGTATATCATTTTGGTTACAAAGAAGGAAAAATTGGAAGTGCCAAAATAGATGCATGTTAACGTGTAACTTGTTTAATATTTTTTACTTAAATAATAAAGCATAGTGTTGGGAAAAGTCTATAATTACATATCTAATCTATAGTTAAGATGTTTTTCTCGCCACTGTTCCAACGGTTTTTTACATAACATATGCATGGATTTTGCTGAATTACACGATACTATTTCGTGTTAAAAAATAAGTAGTTACATTTGTTTCTTCTGATTCGTACCTTTTTATTAACATGCCGTAAAGGAACTCTAGAGATAATATAGATTTGACGCTAAGTACCTGTTTTTTCCCGGTTTTAATACATAGCTTTTAATAAAAGTAGTAATTTCATTCAGTATAAAACCTGCAGGACAGTTAGATTACAGAAAGAATCTTCTGGGAAGGAGTATTTTAGATAGGTTTTCATGTAATTCTTCTTTAGCGTGCTTTCCTTTGGAAATCACCTATTAGTGTAATTTTCTATAAGTTATTTCTTGTATAGAGATTTCAAAGTATGAACTGATATACCAGATAAAAGCATACATATCGTAGTAAAATTGACAGAAAATTGCATATCCTCTACACTTTTATACATCTGAGTATATATAAGCAGTGGTGTCTTAGTGGCTAATTCAAAACTTTGTACTTGATTTCTTGATAACACAAGATTTTGCAGAATTTCTGAGGCCAAATGTTTCTCACATATTCTTACCTATAATTACCGAAAGACACATCTGATAGAACAACATTTGTGTCTTCTTTTCCTTTTTGGTATTTCATATTATTAATTTTTCGGTTTCGCATAGAAAATGAGTGGAGTTAGCAAAAAAAGGAAGGAAAATTCTCCGTTTCACTCTAAGCGAAAATTAATCAAATTCGTTCACAAGAATACTCTATGCCCTCAACTATTTCTAATTTAGCTAAAGGGAAAAGCTCACACCTCCTAAGCTGTTTCCTCGGTTTCCCGAAAAGAGTTTTAATTCGCGTATCTATGAAATGCGGTGTTACTGACAAGCTGACTTCACAAGTCTAGTCACGGTTGCATACTTTAACCAAGGCTGAAGACCTTTTAAGCCAAAATTCATTGGCTTGTTTGGCGACCACACGATTAGTGATGCACGCAAACATACGACTCGAGCATTAGTGACAGTAACTTTAGCCATATAAAAAAAATGCTTTAGGAACAGATAGGTACAAAATTCATGTTTATGTGGAGTAGGGTAGTTTAGTGCAAACAAAGAGGATTAGTACATCTGCTAAGGGATACAGATTATGATATATAACAGGAGAAATACTATTTATGGAATTTTATATATTTAATATATAATTTTTATATTTAATATATAATATTTTATTTTTATATTTTTTATAATTAATTTTTATAATCTTTCTTCCCAGCAATATATTTCTTATAGATTTGGGCTCTAATTATTGCAATGATTTAAACATAAAATTTTCAAAACCGGTATAAAACATACAATTTAAATATTTCCATCATAAATAGTAAACATTTTCAAATTTATTTGCAAAATCTGAATGCAGTACAAGCCAGACATTCGTATTTTATAAGATTTAAGTACTTGCGCTTTCATCTCTAGCCATTTCTTCTGAAATTTTCTGAAGGTGTTTGCATCTTGAAATTTTCCTACTAATTAATGAAAAGAGTGTAATAAAAGATCTACTCTACTTTAATATCATTACCTGTAGGTAATATCATATCGTGAATAAAAAATATCGTTCGGAATTCTCTGTGTATCTAATAAAGAATACTGCCTACTGGTCGGAAATACAATAATCTCTTTTCTCTGCATTAGAGTAAGAAATATGTAATCGCATGAAGCTTTTTCTTAGGATTTTATTCAAGTATCTAAGATCCAAACAAATCTTTAATTATTGATCACAATAATTCTGTCCTAAATATGTCTCATACAAGCTAATCAAGTTTTGAATTCATTCTAATTTTTTCTGATTTATGCACTTATAAAACTTTTTATATGAAATTAATTTGTGTTTTAGATTAGATGTTAATGCACATTAAATGTAATTTGTATTATTTATGTTTTCGTTGTGTTCTGTGCCAATTCAACAATTTCAAATGAATAGGTATTTTTCAAAAATACTGAACTACAAGCTGTATGGGATGCATTTCTGTTCATGCTTTATATACCACACTTTTTATTTTGCCATTATGTTCATGTTAAAGGCATAACTGCGATTCATTTTCAAAAGATGTATCTTTTTTTCTGTTGCAGGCTAGTGGTGTTAGCTGTAGTGCTGGGCAGTGTTGACTTTGGCAAAGATTCTGTCTGTGTAAGCGATTTGTACGAACATGTTTTGGGCTATATTGTAATATTATCCGGATGCGTCGTTGTCGAAGCCTTTATCTCCTGGGTCAGTATGCGAGGAACTATTCTCGTCACTACACCAAGAACGTCCATGCAATACCTCTTGTATGTCCGTCTCGGTAAGTTCATTTTCATTTTTTAAATGGATTTAAATGAAAATTTGTAAAATTTATTGTATTGTATGGGCAATCTGAAAAAGAAAAGTCCTTATTCTAAATGTATTAATAGTCTTATTTGATATAACAGCCAATTAAGCTTCAAAGTTGTTCAATAAAAGGAAAATTGGACAATAACGTTTACCTTCAGTTGCAAAACACTTCACCTTCATTTCTAAGACTGTAAATCATCAAGATTCAAGAACAGATCTCTTCCTTTCATACTCTGCTGGTAATTAAATCGATGAATTACGTATCTAATAGAACTAAAGAATGTTCTGTATACAAGTGCTTTGATTGTTGGTGATGAAAATGAATTTTCCTCTTTTTACTTTGAGAATTGAGTGGTATGGTGTTCATGTTAAATCCATTTCCTTTCTATTTCAAAGACCATGTCATGAAGCAAATCTAAATGTGCAGGCAAAAAAATTATGCTTGAATATAAAATTAAGTGAAAAGGTTTTAATGTTCACGAAGTATAAAATGCAAAGCATTAGGCCTTCAAGTAATATAATTAAATAATCATCTTTCAAAGCTTTCAATCTCATGCTCTTGAAATTAAAAAATTGTGAAACTGAGAAGCAAATTCTTGAACGTGATATTTTAAAACAATAAGAGGAACCTCTTGTATTTGGTACTGATACAGCACATACGTGAATAGAAAAAAAAACTCTTTCTAGAACCATAAAATATGAATAGAGTTTTATAATACTCTTAATTATGCTGCTCGATATACAGCTTATTCGGTTAGTTTAATAGTGTTACCTGAAGCCGAAGGTAAAATACTGTCGCCTGGGTTAACATATGTAGCAATATAATATTGATTCTTTAAGCATAAAGTTGCCCTGAGAAAAGAGGTCTAAAATGAGGGTCATAAAGAACCTGATTACTAAATATCACACCAAAATCGCTCGATTTTCAGCAACATAAAAAGGATAAGAGAGAGCATCAAAACTATTTACATTCAAAGCTCTAGGCTTACCAAAAAATAATAAAAAAATAAATAAAATAAATAATAATAAAATTCGATAATACAATCGAATTTAAAAAATTCTAAAATATAAATATGCATGCTCCGTATACAGAATTCATGGGATATGATTTTTTATTTGCATGTCTGAATTCGACTGCGGTAAGATCATGTCAGTATCAGTATTTCAGTTTATCGTTCCGCAACATTACTGCTACTGTTAATCGGGATACCATGACTGTCACGCAAATATGGAATCGATGGGTCCAGATGGGCCATCCTGAGCTCCACGTAGATCTCAGCGGTCCAGGGTCACTAATGCCCGAGAGGATAGACAAGCTGTCCTCTCGGTTTTGTGGGATCATTCAGCCACGTCACATACCGCATACCAGAAGCTTGGCTTGTGTGCAGGACGACGGGTATTCGCACGGACAGTGCGACGACGTCTGCAGCAACATATAATGTCAGGAAGGATACCATTGTTGCGACTTCCTTTGACGCTGCAGCGGAGACAGGTGCAAATACAGTAGTGTGATGAAGATGACACTGAGCAGAGAAGCAGCACCACGTCGTTTTTTCAGACGCGTCCCGGCTTTCCGTGCAGCATCATGATAGACATATGCATGTGTGGAGGCAGAGAGGAAAATGATCGTTTCCAGATTGTATTGCTCATCGTCATACCAACTCATCATTTAGTGTGTTGGTATGTGGAGCCAAGTACAGGTACTGATCACCTCTTATTAGCACATTAGGTAATGTGGACAGCCGCCGTTACATTTCTGACGTACTAAGACCCTTGGCTGTGACGTATCTTCGAGGCTCATTTGACGACATCTTTCAGCAAGATAATCCACAGCCGCGTGTTTCTTGTGCTGTCCTGACCTTCTTCGATACAGAGGGTGTCCGACTGTTGCCTTAGCAAGCACATTCTTCAGATCTCTCACGAACTGAGAATATCTAGTCATGGGTTTCAAAGAGAATGGATAGTGTAACCCGATTACTTTTATATTTTTGTTTAATACTGGTTTGGTACATAAAAAAGAACAAGAATACTTATAAAACAAATAATTAAAGTTAAGATAATACAAATAAAAAAATTAAATTCTAAAATGGGGTAATTAAGATAAACTTTAATGAATTATAGCTGATCATTAATGTCTTATGCAGATAAAACACTCACAAACTTATGAATTAAGTAAATCGTATAATCCCATCGACCAGTCCTTTTTTTTAATTAATAATATAACATTTAAAATTAGTAAGATATTAACAACAATTAGTGCTACACATAAATTCACTATCCGCCCAGCTGTGTACAATGCACATGGCTTGGTACACCGCATCAAAACATAATTCGCGACAATTCAGTTCAACGGAGGTTTACCGTTTGTGTTAGAAAGAATGGTATCCGCGAATAATATTAGCTCTCGATAAAAGTAGCTTGTGGAAGTGAAAGGGCCACAACCCTCATTTTAATAACTGATTCTCGAATTATCATTTCCTCACACAACAACCTTATAAAAAATGTAGAACTATTTACCGCAGTGTTAAATGGTAAACATTTTGCATAAATTGCAGTGCTCTGTAGGTTTCTTTATATTTATATCCCTATGGGAAAACATTAATATATATAAATGAGACCTTCTCTAGGTCTAGTAAACAAGTATACACAGATCTATCTCCGATCTGTATTCAAGTAAATTTATTGATAAACAAGGATCGATTCCCAGGCTCAGTAGTCAACTAGACACCCTGCAGTAAAGTCTGAAAGAGTTTTAGAAGCAGCATGAATACGAAAAGAAAACATCAGCTTGCTTCCATGAAGAAATCTAAGTAATACTAAAACAAAATTTAATTAAGTTTCATGAAGGGAGGTGCATTCCCATGCTAAAATAACTTATGAAAAGACCGCATCATTAGTTGTAAAATTTACTACGCAGAAATATTACTATAAACTGCTCGGTATACTTTTGGCGCGATGTTTATCCAAAGCAAAAATAAGAAAGGAAAATTATCTAAAAGTAACACTCAGCGCGGAATTATTCGTATGAATTGCCGAGTTAAAATCAGACGAGAATTCCACTAAGTCAAACTGGTAAACAATTGATTTGAAATTTGAATTTGATTCGCATTGATTTCAAAAAAAAAAAATTCTTAAAAAAACAGAAATGGCAGAATAGTAAATATCTCATATACAATGAGTTATGCCTGGTTATTTCTATTTTAAAATAGACATCCAGTATATATTCGTATTTTTCGCACACTGCTTCATATTGCGAGTTCGGATGAAGAAGCTTATTTAAAGGCAAAGGAAACTGATTTAAAGAATTTAAATAAAATCAGGGGAAAAGTGTGGCTATAAAGAAGAACTAATACTCAAAGGTAAAAAATGAAATTGTCTTTGGAAGTAATTGCTAATAGCTTTATAGCAATAAAACAGAAAATAATATCTGCGATTTATGCTTTAAAATATGTCCAAGAATTAAGTGAAATTAAAAACGAATGTGGCCTTTTTGAGAGAACTAGTCAATATTGACGTCACTGAAAGAAATTGTCATATATTTTTAAAGCCGTAAATGGAATAGAATCTCTGAGGCATTTATTTTAAATTAACTACGGGAATGGTATTAAATCGTAGAATTTGGCTGTAAAGACGAAAAAATGCTCGATGTTGTTGAAATCGAATTGGTCTTCAAAAATTTGTCAATACATTCCTTTACAGCAGCAAATGGAAAGTATTATCCTAGATCTAAAACTTTAAAAGACCGTCTGACACTTGTATTGGGTAGAAATGCAGTAAGAGATTTGAAATTAAGACTGGTGTTTATATACCTTTCAGGAAATCCTGAAGCTGTTAATGGAGTTTTCAAAAGGCATTTTCCTGATATTGAACCGAGCAAATAAGAAAGCATGGATCACAAAAGATGTGTTTGAAGATTGTTTCATCGACTACTTTTTTTTTTTTTTTCATGCGGAGAGAAAAATAAAAATCGAGATGTTTTCCTTCTGTTCCGCGAAACGCAGTTTTGAATTAGTTCTTTCTTCAAAGTGGCGATTCATATTATCTTTTTTATGGATTACTTGGACAAAATTAAAAAAAAAACCTTGTTTTTTTCCTATCAAATGCATAATTGATACCTAAGATATCCCACTAGTGCCCTTACATTTAATGGCTGACACACTGAAATAAACTTCATTGTTTCAAGTTTTTTTCATGCATAATGTAACTACAAACTAATTCTTTTTAAATACAGTTCACTGAAATCGTATCGCTTTTAGACTTTTCTCACTGACGCCGGCTCTATAGCAAACAGGCTAGAACCTCGTTTATCTGAAGATACTGTAGTACATAACCCATTTTCCGAATAACACATAGTAACTATTTGTCAGCTATTTAAAAATCGATACCAGCAAGTTCCTAGTTTGTGGTCCTCGGAGCTTTGAGGACTGCCCTGTTGCTACAAGAAAATAAATGAAACTTGACAAAATTATGGAAGCAGTACTCCTTTAAAAAAGCCAAAAATTATATTTTTTAGTTTAATATTTTGGAACCTAATCAGATCTGAATAATTTAGCACTTACATTCATTAGTTTACAAAATAACGGAAACTTCTAAGCCGCATCTTTTTTCATGTAAGCAATAAACGCGACTGCTGGCGCGGACTATAATACTTTTATTATTATTATAAATTATAATACTTTTATTATTAAAGGTTATTTCACACCAAATTGTGCAAGAAAAGGGTACTAAAATTTAAGAAATGTTGTCCTCAGTGTATATTTGATGTACATTTCTTTCTTTACGGCATTTAACGATATTACTATCGTCAGGATTAAGCCCGATTAATATAGGCTGTGGGCTTTTATACAGCATTCTTTCTGAGGCTCCAAATACTCACGTTCCTTACTTTTATAACAACTACAAAAACCCATAATCATGTTATTTCTGTAAAAAGTCATCTTATATCTCCTCATAATAATGAGAAGATACAGA